ATAGATAGATAGATAGATAGATAGATAGATAGATAGATAGATAGATAAAGATATATAGACAGACAGGCAGGCAGGCAGGCAGGCAGAGATATATATAGTTTGATCCTAGATAGAGGCAGATATTTCTCTCTCTCTGGGCACAATGAGAATATATCTGCTGTAAAAATACTCCACATTGGCAACAGGAAAGGCATCCGGCCAGTAAACATTCCAGTTGCCCAGACTCCACCCCACAAGGGATTATATATATATTGGGGGCAATATGCAAATAATGCTTCTATCTTGTAAACTGCCCAGAGAGTGTTGCAAAGCCTAAATAGCAATAGTACTTAGACTTACATACTACTTCACAGTGCTTTACAGCCCTCCCTAAGAGTCAGCCTATTGCCTTCAACAATCTGGGTCCTCATTTTGCTGAGCTTGGAAGGATGGAAAGCTGAGTAAACCTTGAGCCAGTCAGAATCAAACTTCTGGCAGTGGGCAGAGTCAGCTTGCCATACTGTATTCTAATCACTGTGCTACCACGGCTAAATGCTATTGCTAAATGCTAAAAATGCTATATTTCAATTTATTTCAATTACTATGGCCGCCCAAGCATTTCTGAGTGGCAACCAAGCAAAAAAACTACAATGTTAAGTAAACCATAATGAAACAAATCAAATGTAATTAAAGCAGAAGAAGGCCAAACAATAATCCCCTACAGACTCCATGCAGATGTATGGTCTGTGTGACTGAATACTTAAATCTGCCACTTATTTATCTACTAGATCGATACCTGTGCTTCGCTATGAAACTATGTGGTCGGGCTTAGTTTTGGGGGAGAAAAATAAGGGGGGGGGAGAATTCTACCTCTGCCTACCAACATCCATCAGTATTCATCTGGCTAGCGTCCTGTCAGTGTGTGAGAGAGATGAGGGCTGTTTGGAAAGTGAAACAGTATTTGCTGTGTGAGCAAGAAAGGAACAGCAAGGAGCCTGGGCATGGCTTAGCTCAACTGTTCTGTACTAAAGCTGCTTGGTGCTCTGAAACTGAAACTGAAACTGAAACTCCTCTGCTTGTGTTTTGCATTTAGAGGAGATTTCTTTTCAGGTGGGGAGGGGGAGTAGAACTCCTTAGCATCAGAGCGTGTTAATAACAATAATATAGGAAATTCTAATGCTCTGATGGTCATTTGGAAAAAATCCTTTCTTAGTGAGCACATAGAAGCCAAGAGGAACATATGTGCCAAATTTCAAGTTTGTAGGCTTTACAGTTCTGGAGATTTTGTGATGATGCGTGAGTGGTCTTTCACTTTTATATATGTAGATTTAAAATTGCATTTAATTTGCAATCTCAAATCTAACATTGCATTTTAAAGTACCTGTTGAATGAAATGGAATTGAACGGAATGGGAACAAAAACCCTTTGAATTTCAATCTGAACTTCTCTTATGAATAAACGTTAGATTATGCACTAACATGCCCTAACATTTTTTGAACATCTAATTTGAGGAGTTTCCTGGGAAATATGTGCAATGCACGTAGGATAAACCGCAGTTGTGTTTCTGGAGTGCAAAGAAACTGTTTTGCTACCTACAGTATTTCATAAAGGGGTTGACCGTCAGCAAGTAGGGAGAAAGTTTAAAGAATTTATAGGTAGTCCTTGACTTACGACTACAATTGAGCCCAAAATTAAGCGAGACATTTGTTAAGTGAGTTTTGCCCTGTTTTACGACCGTTCTTGCCACAATTGTTAAGTGAATTATTGCAGTTCATAAATTAGTAACCCGGTTGTTAAGTGAATCTGGTTTACCCATTGACTTTGCTTGTCAGATGGTCGCCAAATGGGGAGCCCGGGACACAGCAAAAGTCGTAAGTATGAACCAGTTGCTAAGTGTCCGAATTTTGATCACGTGATGCTGCAAAGGTCCTAAACAGTGAAAAACAATCGTAAGTCACATTTTTTCAGTGTGACTTTTTAAACTTTTGTTGTAACTCTGTTGTAACTTTGAACAATCAGTAAATAAAGTGTTATAAGTAGAGGATTGCCTGCATTACGTTCTGCTCCGTTTTATTGATCCTCCTTTGCATGCTCGCTGAGTTGGAATTGTAAATGAAGATCTTCGCTCTTCCTTACCCTGTAGATGAAAAACATGCTAAGTAAGGAAAACTGTATAGATCAAGGACCGGTCCCTGGGAATACTCCCATATTGTACGCCTGCCATGGATACACCCCACAGGTAAGTTGGCAATGCACTTGTTCTAACCTGGGCTTCCCAAAAGCTCGTCCCGATAAAACCCCTTTTATTTAGTTTAAAGTGAATTCCTCTCCAGCGAAGTCCCAGCCAACAGTCTTTCAAGAGATTTCACAACTACAGACCTTTATCAGGCTTGGAGAGCTGCCAGGCCGACATCTTCCAAACACCATGCTGGAGCAGACAATACTTGGCAAGGAGTCAGAAACAGATCTTCATCCTAATGAATTGAACTAATTGTCTCCTGCAAACGCCACTCCCTTTTTGCTCCTCTTTATTCCCTATGGGAGGGGCCATTCACTATCCACTTGTGGCTTTACTCCCAAGTTGACCCTTGTGCCTTAGCTGTTCCCTTCTCCTGACAGCTCTGTGCATGCGCACACTGGGAACAGGCTCCAGCTGTTCTTCTGCCTCACTGATGTCCAACTCCAAAGGCAGTTGATAACTGTCAGACGGCCCTGGCCCCATCTCTGTGTCCGACGCAGAGCACTCGTCAGAGCCTTCCCCAGACTCCAGGACTGGCCCATGTTCCTCCCCAATCTCCTCACTGTCCGATTCTGCTGCCAGCTCCGCTTGCCGCTGGCGGGCCACAACAGCACTCTTTCTTTCAATGCCAAAACAACAAAGAAAATACCCGTTTCATAGAATGTAGAACGATAGGATTTCAAGGGACCTTGAAGGTCTTCTAGTCCAATCCCTTGGTCGAGCAGGAGCTTGGAACAGTCACGAAACAAACAGTTATAAGCTGAGGACTGTTTGTATTTCCAGCACATGTTCTATCACAGCACTGGAGAATTCTTTGTGGGAGGTTTACAATCTCGGCGCAACAGGGTTGACAGATGCTTGACAGACCCTGGAGAAGGAAAGCTGCCAGTCATCGAGAAATGTGACAAAGCCCAGAGAAAAGGCCTACACATGCACTGGGATTTCACGCAAGTAAGGTTTTAATTTATAGAGCTGTGGGGGGCATAATGATTAGAATGCAGTATTGCAGGCTAATTCTGCCGACTGCCAGCAGTTCGATCCTGACCGGCTCAAGATCGACTCAGCCTTCCACTTGACCTTAGTAAAAGCATACCTTTTCTCTACCGGTGTGTTCTGATCCAGCTCCCCAAACAAGACAAACTCTCTGTAGTTGAAGCAATTATTCCTTTATTAGGAACACCAGCAGCCCTGCCAAAAAGTCTCTTTCTCTCACAGCAGGCTAACAAGTCTGTCCGGCAGGGAGATGAATAGTTGTCTGCCACATCTATTCATCTCTGCCCCCTGCCTTTTATCCCCAGAGTAAGAAAGGGACTTTGCTAGCAGTGGTGGCTCTTCCATCCCAAGGACCGGCCCATAGATTTCCACTGCTCTCTCCTCTCCTCTGCCTTCTGCACATCCACACATCAGGCACTGGACCCAGCTGTTCCTCCTCTTCCTCATCAGCCACCTCCAGACCTGGGGGCTGTTGACTCTCCATCTGAGGGCTGACGGACAGCCCAGTCTCTGCCTCTGTCTTTCTCTCTCTCTCTCTTTGCCAGCTCCAATCCCTCCTCTCCCTCGGAGCTCTCAGGTTGCCTTGATGCTGACTCCCACGCCGCCGCCTCCTCCTCCTCCTCCTCCTCCTCCTCCTCTGATTCGACTGCTGGAGTGGCCGGCAGCCAACAGGCCACAACACAGTGGAGTTAAGGGTCCAAACTGGGACAGGCTTGACAACTTATCTTCTTGACAGTATGAGTGGGAAGTAGTCTACCTGGAAGAGATGTAGATTCACCCCCTGGAGGTCTCTGAGCAAAGCCTACATGGCCACCCGTTAGAGATGGCGGAGTGTCGACCACAGGTGGCAGGAGAATTAGGTGATCTACAAGGTGCCTTCCAACTTGTCCTTTCTCTAAAAGTGGACACTACTCTCTCTCACCTAGTATTTGAGAGCAATAACAAAATCTCTCCCACTATGCTTTTGATTGTTACCTGCATTCACAAAATTGCACTGGTAATTGTAATTACATTTGTGTAATACTTTATTGCCTACTTACATAGTTTTACATAGTTATAAGCTATCCGGAGTGTTTACACAACCTAAAAAATGGGATACGCTCAATAGGTGTGTGAGTGTGTGTGTGTGTGTGTGTGTGTGTGTGTGAATGGGTGGTGTGTGTGTGTGTGTGTGTGTGTGTGTTCAAGCATAACTCTGGAACACCTTGAGCAATTTCAACCAAACATGGTAGACAGATGACTTACCCTCTGGAAAAAAATACTGTGGGGGTAAGACACCTGTAACACCCCTTGGAGTGTCTGTGTGCCTTAAAATGGCTTCCGCTGTACAGCACAGTGGAGTTGCCATGGTAACGGCTTCACAGTACTCCACAAGGGAACGCCCTCTGACTTGTCACGCTGCGTGAGAGAGTTACTACATCTAGAACTTCAGAGACAGTACAACAGCTTGAATCCCGACTAAAGAATATGAGAGACAGAGCTACTACATCTAGAGCTTCACAGACACTACAGCAGCATGAGTCCCAACTATAGGATTTTCCTGTCTAATACAGGATTGGGATAAATAAATACCCGGGCAATGCCGGGTTATCAGCTATTACTAAATATTTACAGGCACAGAATTCAATCATCTGCCTATTTTTTAAAATTAATATTAGCTTTTTTTTAAATTCTAGGGATCGTCCGTAATCAACAGGAAAACGAAACGGTGTCTTGAAATTGCGAAGGATCATGGATCCCCCTATTATATGCTGGCTATGCAAAATTGCACAGGTCAAAAATGGTTTATTCAAAATACCGTCAAACAATGGGGGAAACAGCCGAAAGGCGGTGGGTAACTTTTTCTTCAGTTCAGAAAGGAAGCTGCAGGGTAGTAGAGACTAATGGGAATAGGCGGACTTTTTTTTCAGTTGGGAATAATTTGGAAGACCGTTACCTGATTTTTGATTTTGACGTGTGATTATTACAAATGTTCTTCCACTTACGACCCCAATTGAGCCCAAAATTTCTGCCGCTAATCCAGACAGTTGTTAAGTGAGTTTTGCTTTGTTTTACGACCTTATTTGGCACAGGTGTTTCTTTGGAAGAGGAAAGAGACTTCAAATCCATAAAATGTGTGACATTCACAAGTTACTATCTTAACTTCCTCAACTGTAAACTAAACAATGCAGATTCTTTCAAACCATTTGTCAACTCATAAAACATTCCTATGCCTGTTTTACTAGTTGCCATATTTTAAAAAAAAAAGGGGGGGGGGGGAGGAAGGAAATCTGGAAGAGCAGTGCAACAGTTTGAAAGCAAAAGTACCTTCCAACTCTTATCTTTAAAAGATTGTAACAAAAATACCAGAGCTTTTGCTGGTGAATATATTTAATTGGAGAATGTGAATGATGACACCCAGCCTGTGAACATGCTCAATTGGAGAATGTGATTTATGACACACCCAGGGGGAGGGGGGAAACAGGGTCACAGGGGACTGTAAATGACGTATGCAGAGTTGGCTCCATACAGGGCAGTGCCAGTATGTCGCCTCTAATAAATCCTTTGAAGTTTTTTGAAGTTTGGCTCGAGAATCATGATTTAATTAGAACGATTGCTGGAATCCTGACACCATTTACATGAATGCTCCATCCCATTCAAATGGTTAAAAATCGTTCAACTTCCCACCAGAATAGTTGATCAATGTTTAATGTTTTATTTGGGAATACCAGCCAAGATGCTACTAGAATGCTCTTGAAAGACATAATTCTATGAATTTCACTGCTTCCCTCCTAGCTGGTTCACCTGTGGAGGTTGTTTTTTTTCTCGTCCTGTTGCACTCGACTAAAATTAAGGTTGTCATCAGATGTGTCAGGATTCTGACACTTAACCCCATTTAAATCATGAGTCTCTAGCCAAACTCCAAAAATATTTATTGGGAGTTAGAAGATGCGGCATTGCCTGGGTGTAGCCAACTCTGAGACACATAATTCATTGTCACCCTTGACCCTGATTTTCCCCCACCCCCTGAGTGTGTCAAAATTCATATTCTCCAATGGGACACATCCATAGCCAAGAGTCATCAATCATACTCTCCAGTTAGAATTTTGCGCGGCAAAAACCTCAGTCACCTAGAAACTATCTTTGAAAACATTTATGGAATGCAAGCTGCTCACTGTTTGCCCCCCCCTTTCTGTTGGCAACCCTAAAAGACCACAGAAATATTTTGAGTTGACAAGATGTAAGCTAAGCCAGGGGTGTCAAACTCAAGGCGGCCCACAGGGTGCTTAAATCTGGCCCGCGGGGCTGGCCTGGAAATAGCGAAGGACTGGCCCGCGGTGCCTCTGGCAGCCAAAACAGGAGGCGGGGGGCATGTTTTGGCCGGCAGAGTGCTGCAGGGGGCCGTCTGTCCCGTCTCCCCTCCCCTGGCCCATGGAGAAGAACTACAGTGCTGATCTGACCATCGAAAAAATCCAGTTTGACACCCCTGAGCTAAGCGGTAATTAGGGGTATTTTTTTTTCTTTCACTTGAGGCAGTTTGGACAAGTTGGGCCCAGTTCAAACCCTTCTTTGGAACTCCAGGCCTCTGAAGGACCATCCATTGCTTAAGTGAGGAAGCTGTTAAGCCCAGAAACCAGGAAGTCCAGGCAGTCCAAATGAATACAGGTAGTCTTGGACTTACAAAAGTTCACTTAGTGGCCATTTGAAGTTACAAGAGCACTGAAAAAATATTATTTTTCACACTTATAACCATTACGGCATCCCTCATGGTCACATGATCCAAATCTGGACACTTGACGACTGACTCACGTTTATGATGGTTGCAGGGTCTTGGGAGGGGGTGTCACTTTTTGCGACCTTCTGACAGGCCAAGTCGAGGGGCAAATCAGATTCACTTAACAACCAGGCTACTAACTTAACCATTGCAGTGATTCGCTGAACGAATGTGGCAAGAAAAGTCATAAAATGGAGCAAATCCTACTTAACCAACGTCTCACTTAACTACATAAATTTTGGGCTCAATTGTGGTCGTAAGTTGAGGACTACTTGTATAAGGATTTCTTGCAAGCTGAAGCTCTCTACAAGAACCTGAACTACTAACAGTCAAAGCAAATTGACGGTAGATAGGAGTTCAAGGTGAGCTGGACTCAGATCTCTTGTGGCCATGAAGAGACTCAAGACCGATGACATGTTTGACTCCTCCCTCAGGCTCAGCCTGTTCATCTCCTACAGAAACCTTGCATTCACTTCAATTCCCACCAGGCTATATCCAAATCAGGGTTATACTTGTGAGTAGGCCACCATTAGTGAGTCCAGTCATCACCATAATTTAGGAAAAGTCCCAGATTCCTGGAAGACAAAGACTCAGTTTCACATTCCTTCTACACCGTGGTTGCCTCGATGTGAAACTGCGCTTCAGACTACATGAGAGTGTTAACAAGTAATAAAGATGGTTTGTATTTTTGGGAACTTTTGTCGGTGTATATTATTGGGAACATCGGGGTCAGACAAACGGGTGTAATTGTGACATCTACATCCTGAAGCTGTAGACTCTCCCCAAAGGAGGGGTATCAAACTGGATTTCTTCGAGGGCTGGATCAGCATTGTAGTTTTCCTCCACGGGCCAGCCGGAAGTGGGGCAGGGAGGGGGAGGGAGACAGGATGGACGCTTCCTGCAGCATGCCCCCCCGTGCCCCGTTTTCAGCCAGCAGAGTGCTGCAGGAGGCCATGGAGGCCGAAAATGGGCCCGGGGGGGCGCACCCAGAGGTGGTATTCAGCCGGTTCAGACTGGTTCTGGAGAACCAGTAGCGGAAATTTTGAGTAGTTTGGAGAACCGGCAAATATCACCTCCGGATGGCCCCGCCCTCCCACTCCCGCCATTCCCTATCCTATATTCCCTTGTTTTTCACCTCAGCTGATTCACGCAGCAGAGAAAATTGCTGTGCCTCAGCTGAGCTAAAAAAAACCAACTAACCAGCGCTGACTTTGCCTACCGGTTTTTTGAGTGCTACGCACATGCGCAAAGCACTCTCTCATAGAGAAAGTGCTCTCATAGAACCGGTCCTTTGATATTTCCAGTCCGTCCCCGCGGACCAGATCCGGCCCACGGGCCTTGAGTTTGACACCTCTGCCCAGGGGTGGGATTCAAATTTTTTAACAACCGGTTCTGTGGGTGTGGCTTAGTTGGTAGGCGTGGCTTGGTGGTCATGTTATTGGCTGGGCGTGGCCAACTCAATATCACTCACATCGAGGCACACATCTCCTCGCCTGGCCTCTCATGATTGTGGGGACGCTGCAACAGTCGTAAGTGTGAAAAATGGTCATAAGTCACTTTTTTCAGTGCCATTGTAACTTTGAATGGTCACTCCACACAAGCAAAGTACCAGCAAAGGAGGGGGAAAAAACTCCAGAGACGTTCCTGAGACAGGGTCTAGTCCTGCCAAGAATGTAATAAGGGTTAATGGAGAGGCAGTTTCTGTAAGCAACACCAGAATGTTTCCTTCCTGCATTCCTTACAGGATTAGGCCAGTAATTTCTTCTAACAATCGGTTCTCTGAACTGCTTAGAATGTTAACAGCCAGTTCTAGCGAATAGGTGCGAACTGGTAGAATCCCACCCCTGCCCCGCCCCAAAGAGTATAACTTTTATGGCATGTGGAAATGACCTTGAGATAGGAGGAAGAGCTACAGACTAGGCCACAATCAGATAAGCGGCAGCTACACTTGCTCATTTGTGCCTCAAGTGAGAAATCTGGATGGATTTGTTTGACGGTCTACTTGCTTTCTTAGTTCCCTCCTTAGTCTCAAGAGTCTTCTCCAACACCAAAGTTCAAAGGCTGATCAATGCTCTGCCTATCCTTTTTCATAATCTATTCATATACCACAGTAAGCTACACAATCCTAACCAAGGTTAGCTCTAACCAGGTTTGGGACATTCTGCTAATGCTTGTCCTTTATCTCTTGGGTCTCCAACCTTGGCAACTTTAAGACTTGTGGACTTCAACTCCCAGAATTCCTCAGCCAGTCCACAAGTCTTAAAGTTGCCAAGGTTGGAGACCCCCGCATTATCTGACCTGTTAATGTTTACATAGGTATAAAACCACGGGGATTTCATGAGAGCTGAAGAATAGTTCCAAGTCCTGCTGTCCCCATTTATTTGTACCTATTTCCTGTATTTTTACTCATGTTTATACTTATACCTATTAACTTGTAAGTGATTGACAAATCAAATAAATCAAATAGTCAGATCTGAGCTGCAAAAATTCAGATGAGCACTAGAGGGCAGAAAAGATTCACAGATAACTTGAATTTTACTGCCATCTAAGCTCCTCTGAATTTTTGCAGATCCCAATACATCCAATTTAAAGACTCTGCATAAAAGCACACCAAAACCCTAGCAACAACAACAACAAAAATCAACAGTCAGAGAACAACTTTTTCCAGCCGAGCTATTTTATTAAAAAGAGACAGGTTCAATTTGCAGGATGCACGGAGTGGCCGCTAGACTGATGGAAGATATAAACAGGAAAACCAATGCAGTGCCTTGCATGAGCAGCTCCCAGCAGGACAGGATAGATGATGGATGGATGGATGGATGGATGGAT